CTTAATTTATAGCTGTTTTGGCAGCCTTATATTATGTTTTCTGATGTCTCCAGCCACATTCTGGCTCTCTGCTTGAGTTCTTAGCTGCTCCGCACCCCTGGGCTGGGGAGGGTTTTGGGGACAGCTGTATATAAACATGGATTTCACTCAGTGATGGGTCCTCCTTTGAAGGGTTGAATCCCCTCCAGTTTCTACCTGCTTTTGGTATCTCTTCAGTGCCTTACAATCATTATTTTGTGTTTTTTTTCCAGGATTTATAGTTGTTACCTGCAGGTGGGTTAGTCCATATAAACTACTCTGCCATTACTGGAACCAGAATGGGCAACTGTTCTTTTTTCCAATGATTTCTTATAAAAATGTTCCAACATTCAGAAAAATAGAATACTTTTGCAAACACCTTATTCCTGCTTCCTGGTACCTAGGATCCAAAATCTTGGGATGTCATTGCTTTTAGGTCCTTTTAGGCACAATTAGGAAATAAATACATGAGATAAATACACAAATGAGTTCTTATTGCTATTTTCAATTCAAATTTAACTTCATTTTACATATGTATCTTTTAACAATGAAAATCTTGGTTTCTAATAACATTAGTACATAACAAGATACATTCAGAGAAGTGTGACTTTCATCCCTGTCTCTTCTCCCCCATTCCTGGCTTCCTTGTAGGTAATAATTAGTATTTGTTTCAGTTTATCTGCAATCATTGATTTCTTTTAACATGAGCAGAATGTACATATTTCCTTTTCTTTCTTACAAAAGATGTAGGATACCAAAAACATTGTTCTGAACCTTGCTTTAGTATTTTGTTATGAATATTTTCAAAATACAGGAGCTCGAGGACATTGATCTTTTTGCTTTTTGAGTCACAGTGTGTAATTAAGAATCACATTACTGGTGCCATGTTTTAGAATTTGTGTCTTTAATCTTTTCTTCCAGCTTTATTGAAATATAATTAACATCGTGTAAGTTTAAGGTGTACAACATAATTATTTGATATACGTATATATTGAGTGTCTTTTATTTTTGGTGTGAACCATTCAAGACAGAAGTACTTCATCAAGAATTTGTTAGATCACTTAAAAACAGTTATTGTGATTCTAAGAGTTATTATTTTATGGTTCTGTTTTTAAATCATTCATTGTTTTGTTTGTCTTTTAAACATTTTACAGATTGAAGATCCAGGTTGCTTCTGGGTTATTATAAAAGGGTGCAATCCCTTTTTAGACCATGAAGTTGACTATCAAAAACTAAATAGTGCCATGAATGACTTCTATAATAGCATGTGTCAAGATATAGAAATAAAACCGTTAATGTTGGAAGAAGGGCAGGTATGTATGTATCTAAGTGTGCTTTAAACACCATGTCTTGAAAAACTAAAAATGTAGAATATTCTGGCAACTAATATGATAAAAACTTTGAGTATTTTAATTGCTTGTAATCATTGCCTTGTTTTAGGTTCTTTTGGTTGCACAAGATTTAGGCTAATGGAAAGTGGCAGTTGTATAAGGTTCATATAGGGCAAGAAGGGACGGGGTGTCATCTAAATTTAGGCATTGGGGCCATCCTTCTAGGACTGGGAGCCAGAAGATTATTCTAGATTCATCACAGGTGTAGGCGCCTCAGCAAAGAGGGCATGGGGGTTTTCAGTCTGGGGCCGATGCCTCCGTTGTGGTACCCATTAGCTTTTCATGTACTGGTTGTACCATCCAGTGACCACTACTGCCCAAATCCGTGCTTTCACTTAAGCTTGCAAAATGGTCATTTTCACATTCCTTCTGCATTTATGAGCTGGAATTTTGTAGAGAACTTTCTGTCATCTATTAGGACTTTGGCTATCCTGACATAATATAATTCATACTGGAAAGGTAGAAAACTTGCTTGTTTCTTTCCCTCATCAATTTTAAGCATAGTGGTTTATGCCTAGCTATCTACATTGGTGTTCAGAGGTCCCCGCCTCACCTCCTTTTCATTTTTTCAGTATCGAACTCATGGCTTTTTATGTATTCATCACTTGTAATCATTGTTCTGGATGCGTAAATTATCCCATTTTTGGCTAGTGGAAGCCCTAGTAGACCACCAATTCAAAATTGACTGGCTGTGCAAATTATTATCTGTTCATAACCATTCCTGCAAGTTACTTTGGCTTCAGCATTAAACAGAAATACCCTTCATCCTTTGGCAGAATTCCTCTTGAATTATTTTTTGCAGAATAGCTGCGCTATATTTTCCAACTTCTCTTCCCAAGGGCAGGAATCTCCATTGCCCCACTTCTTGCCTTTTGGGCACAGCTGTCTCCACTGGGCCATTTTATGTCTGGGGTCAGCTTATGGTTTGCCAGTCTGGATTGCTGTTGAGTTGGCTGTGGCCCGGCAGTCCTGTGGGACAGTCTGGATGCCAAAGCCTGTGAACTCAGGAGGGTAGTTTCCCTAAAAGGGGCTGCAGACACTTATTCAGTCATTCAGCAAGTCATTTTTGAAGACTTAGTATGTGCCAAACACTGTTCTAGGTGCTGGGAATATGGCTGTCAACAAAACACAAAAATCCACATGATGGAGCTGTTAGTTGTGGCAGGTGGTAAACAAATGTCAGAGGGCGGAAGGGGATGGGGAGGATGAGCCTGGGGGTCAGGTTTCATATTGGTCTGCCACATGACTGACAATCATTCGTAAACTTTATTTTCTGATTTAAGGTGGTAAATCCGTGCATTTTCTTTAATTTTTAAAAATTGTTCTTAGTTAAGCAGTCGAAAGGATTATAGTAGGAAAAACAGTGAAATACAGTTTATATGCATTGTGTCCTTATTTGCTGGGGTTCTTTTACTGACAGGCAGGGTTTAGGTTGGGCAAGGTCAGCCTCCTTGAATCCCTTTCCTCTTCGGAAGGTAAAATGTAGGCTGAGGTGATTTCGAGAGTTCCTTTTAGTTCTCATTATATAGCTAGAGATTTTAACACTGAAATTTTCTTTTTACTTTCTAGGTTTGTGTGGTTTACTGTCAGGAACTCAAGTGCTGGTGCAGGGCTGTTATTAAGTCAATTGTGTCCTCAGCAGACCATTACCTGGCAGAATGTTTCCTTGTGGATTTTGCCAAATACATTCCAGTGAAATCTAAAAAGTACGTACGAATTTATTTTGCCTTATGCTCCTTAAGGAGACATTTGTCAGTTTTAAAGGAAAGTGTTATTTTCAAAGTAAGGGGATAGAGGTCATAAACTGGAATTGTTTTTATAGCTTCGAGAAGGGAAGACTTGCAGGTTCCAGTTCTATATGCAGTGAGTATAAGAGCGAGTGGTCAGAGGGAAGACTCAGCAGGCGGCTCCAGCCTCCTTCCATCTTCCTTCCTGGAGAGGGCAGGTGCTGCGCATCTCCTAGCTGCCCCTGGCCACATACTCGCCTCACCTGGCTTGGCCTCTTAGTTTGTTCATAAGAGAGAGTGGGTCCTTTAGGGAGGCTCGGCTGCAAGAAAGGTGCTACCAGGTTGCAGACAGCAGAGCATGTATCCGAGTATGTATTTTTGCTTGTCTCGCGTAACAAAGTGAGGGTGTGATCGTCATCTCAGGTGGGAGACAGTTCAGAATGAGCTCTCACTGTTTGGAGGACCGCACATCATAGTTCATTAGGAAAAACTGTCGACAAGTCAGTCTTGGTGTTTGTGGTTATTTTTCTGCTGGTTTCCTGTGCCAGAGTAAGAGGACCCTTCTTCCAAAGAGACTTCAGCTGCAAGAAGAGATTTGTCTCGGACAGAAGAATTTCATGGCAGAAAGGCTTATCAGACAGTCGGAATTTGCAAATATTTTAAAAAATGCATTTCTAGCTTGTGATTCTGCACCTTTATAACTATAACTGTAAAAATAATGTGTTAAATAATGTGCTCTTTTCTTTTAGTATTGGGAGTTTTAAGTTTAATTTGTTTTGGGCAAGAGAATCACGATTAAATAGAGCCCAGGGAGGCCATGAGGGGCAGTTAGTGCAGCCCTTTTTCTAAAATGAGTCAAAAGATGCCTAGGCTGCCCACACAGGGCATCCCCATAATCAGTTTATGTCAGAATGGTATGTTAACAGTGGTCTGTCGTTTGCCAGAATGGAAATAAAAATGTTGAACAACCTATCAAATCTCAGTCCTTCAACTCTTTTTTTGCAAAGTTGGCAAACACTAATAATTAAAATATCTGCTCATTTACAGAAACTTTAAGGTAATTCCAGTTGTGTGTTGAAACTGATGCTTAAAAATCTTAAATAAAATTTTCTTCCGAGGTTCGTTCATTATTACCCAGAGTTTTCTCAGTCTAAGGATTCTCACTAGACATTATTTTTCCGATCCCTCCCCACCCCCATGCCATGAAATTTTAACATTAAAGATATACTGAATACCTGTGGATGTACTATTTGTGTATCTATTCTTTATATATAAAAAGAGTGAGATGTTTTTCACCCCCTAAGAACAAGTTTTCACCCCCTTAGGCAAATGTCTCCGAGTACTTCCTGCTGTTGGTGGCTACATTAAAGAGAAAGAATTGGTTTTTGTGTGTTCTATGTTAAATGTATTAATTATATTGGTGTACTTTAAAGAATGTCTTATATATAATTTTTCTTTATAATGGAACTGTTCTGTTTTACTCTTAAGCATCCGAGTTGCGGTGGAAACTTTTATGCAGCTTCCCTACAGAGCGAAAAAATTCAGACTATATTGCACAAAACCTGTTACGTTACATATTGACTTCTGTGAAGACAGTGCTGAAATTGTGTACGTATAGTCTCTAATATGTTGAATCATTAGTGAAAGTATTAAATCAAATATATGATATTTATATGAAATTAATTCCTCTTGAGAAGTTCTAAGTGATTTCAAAGATGTCTTTGTACTTCGGGAGGTGTCTTCTGGGTCCGCATGTGTCCAGCCCAGTTCTGAGCAGAATTCCCCAGGCAGCTCTGTTTCCAGAGGCTAGGTGTAATTGAGAGGGTTTAGAGTAGGGGCTGAGCCCTTTGCTTTTTGGGCTCTTCTTCTTCTTTTTTTTTTTTAATTTACAAGAGGCAGTAAATAAACAGCAAAGGGGAATAAAGAGTAGGGGCGGAGCCCTTTGTTTTTTGGGCTCTCTTCTTCTTTTTTTTTTTTTTTAATTTACAAGAGGCAGTAAATAAACAGCAAAGGGGAATAATACGTAGGATAACGGAGCATTAAAAAACATCTATCGCATTCTTCTCCAGCCCCAGTTCCTCCTGATGGGCGTCTGTGACCTGTTCAGTCTCTGAACTTGCAGACAGTTTTTCAGTGCTTTTATAAATATTCATATGCATGGAGCTTTTAATAAAAATTAGAACATACTGTCTTATTTGCAAATTTAACTGAAGAATGTATGTTGAAGCTTTTCATACTCCCTTCTGCTTTCAGTCTTTTTCACGGGTGAATATAATGGCATACTTGCTGTATTTATGAATTCTTCTCTTGATAGCCAGCTAGATTGTTTTCAAATTATTTTTGGAGTGTACATTCCAATTAGAATAGGTAAATCCATATGAAACGTAGAGACGCCTGCCCCATCTTTGTTACTTTTCCCAGTATTTGGACACATTGCCTGTGTTTGTACAGGACAGGTCCCTGCACTGGGCGGTACAGTATTGGGCTATGACTGTGATCGTTGCTGTTTTGAACAACCACTACCTGAAGTCCTGGGGACAGCCGCATCCTCCCACCTGGTACTCCTCTTCCCCTCCCCGTCTAGGACTGTGGCATTGTGGGAAGCAAAGCTGCAGGAAGCAGCACAGTTCTGACTCAGCTTGCTCAGCTTGTATCTTTGTGATGTTACATTGTGTTTTCTGAACTTGAAAGCTGCTTCTCTTGTGAATGCTTTTGTGGGATCTGGGGAGACCCTCCCATTCCCACTTCCCCAATCCCGAACCCCCTATAGGTCCCTTGAGATGGTCAATGCATCACTCTTGTGGTGGCCTTGGAATCTGCACTGAGAAGATAAGTAGCCAAATTGTCTCTGCCAAGGCCACGGTGCTTTGCCAGGCTGCCCAGCAACCCCTGCTTCCTCCCCTGTCCCTCTTTCAGATCAGCCAGCCACTTACCCTCCTGGCGTGACTTGGGTGCCTGCCTGTCCACACCCAGCTCTCTCTCAGAGCAGTTTGCCTCCCCTTCTCTTTACCCCTTTCCCAGCACACGGAACTCCTCAGGGACCTTCCTAGCCTTGGCTACGCCCAGCCATGGGACACCCTTAATGTAGGCGAAGGACTTAAAGTGAGTCATCTTACTGGATTTTGATCATCTTCTTTGACATGTACCTTTGTGTCTGCACTTTATCCAGAATGTCTGTCTCAATATACATATTATAGTTTTTATAGATTTTGTCACATTGCCCTCTCAAAAGATTAGTGGTTTATACTTCTGTCAGGGGGGTATAGAAAGTGCTGCTTTTTCCACACAACATTGAATATCATTAGGCTTTTAAGTTTTTGCTTGTTTGCTCGTTGGGTGAAAATAGTATTTATTTTTGTTTTAATTTGTATTTTTCTGACTTGTAAAGTTGGGTACCTCTTCATGTGGACACACACACACACACACACACACACACACACACACACACACTTTCTCTCTCTCTCCCACTCACTCACTCACTCACTCACACAACTAATTGATCTTTTTACCCGTGAGAGAGACTGATTTATCTGTTACTAGCCTGGACCTCTTCATGACACACACACACACACACACACACACACACACACACACACACACTTTCTCTCTCTCTCTCCCACTCACTCACTCACTCACTCACACAGCTAATTGATCTTTTTACCCGTGAGAGAGACTGATTTATCTGTTACTAGCCTGGATTGATTTTTCTCTTGGGCCTTTTTCTTACTAGGATTCTACTAATTTTTTAAAAAGCATTTTTGGTAATTTTTGTGTGTAGCAAGGTTTTGGAATCATTTATTTTATTTTTTGCCTCCTTTTAGAAACCCTTTATAATTCTCTTGAAGTAATGTACTTAAATCTCTTTCTTAGTAAAAATAAAAACATCTTAGTCAAGGCTCTGGTAAGTGCTCAATTACACTCCCTCATTTGATCTTTATAACACTTGGTGGACAGTGGTGGCATCTCCGATAAATAAAAAGGGTAGAGAAACAAAACATTGTACTCTAACCTTCTTTTTGTTCCGTGCTTCCAAATACTGGCTCCTCCTCATCTTCTACTGCCTATAGCTTTTCCTGTCATTTTCTTCCCAAAGCATAGGAGAGGATGAGATGATAGAAAACGGGTACCGGTGGGAGGGCGTCAGGAGGGGGAGGAGGAGCCTGAGACGGCAATGGCTGGTGTTCCCACGGCCAGTCTCGGAAGGTCGGTCTGACCAGCACGTCTGGAGCCCTTGCTCTGTGTCAGCCTGTACTGAACACTGTGCACTCTGGGTTCCTGCCAAAGGGAGCTTGCGTTCTGTCCCATGTAACTGGGGATGATGGTGTTGGGACAGACGATGCCATGGTGGTGGGTAAGGGTCACTCAGGAAGTCTCTGCCCTGGTGGAGGCAGCAGTGGTGAGAGCAGCCCGTAGCAGGCTTCGGCTGGCACCATCACCCCAGAGCAGAGCCAGAACCACGCTCCCCCTTGACTGCATCATATGTTCAACATGCGATGTCAGAAACATCCAGTGTATGCTTTACAAAATGATGTTCGTGTGCTAGCCTCAGATTTTTGTTTGACGAAGTTGCATCTGTTCACTGTTTCAGACCCGCCAAGAAGTGGGACAGTGCAGCCATTCAGTATTTTCAGAACATTCTCAAAGGTAAGGCGAGTGTATGATCACTGCAGCCTGCTTTGAACCGACATCCAAGGCAGTTCAACCTTCTGTTGGTGAGGGGGTTTGAGATGTGTGCTTAGCCGTTTGACCCTCCTCATATAGGTTCATAAGGTACCTGGAGCTTCTTTCACCCCAGTGTCACAGTGACTATGTGTCCCTGGAATTTTGGGGGTGGATGTGGACGTTACTAATTAACAGGTGAAATTAGAAATGGGATGTTTGGTGAGGGACCCTTGCACAATAATAATGCCTGCCTCTTAGACTGCATAGAAGCTGCAGCACTGCAAAGTAAACTTAAGTCCATTTCATTGAACCAACAATTGATGAAAAAGCCTAACTTGTGTGTAATCTTTATTATTGCTAATTTAAGATGTACAGAGCATCTCAGAGCCCTTATGTAGTGTGCTCTCTTTATATTATTGACTGTAACATCAGAGTCATTCATGGCATCTGTCCTAAGCCCTGGCAGTCAGGAGCCACATAACTGTACCTGCCTCCTAGGGCTGTTCTGAGGAGTAGTGGGTGTGAAATGTCTGGGGTGCTGCCTGTACCTGTTGGGGTCCTGGCCCCTCTCCTCTGCTGCCCCACTGTCTGGGTACAGGAACAGACAGATGCTTTGTATCTGGGAGAAGAGGGAGGGTCACCGGTTTTAGAGCTTTGGTCCTCGAGAGCCCGTCGGGGGTCCTGGGAGGCAGGTTGGCAGAGGCAGCACCCAGGTTTGAATACTGCCCTGTTGCTTCTGCGTAACCTTCTCTGAGCCTAGTCTCTTCACCTGTACAGTAACTCTCAAAGGTTGTGTTAACAGTGATGTGAAGTACGTTTGTAAAAGATTTAGCATAGTGTCTCATAGGTACTCATACCTGGAGCTGCTGTTTGGATTATTAAGTCTCTGAGAGAGAATAGCTAAGAGCTCCTCCGGTCCATGGCCATTTGGAGAGATGGAGGGACTCGGATGAAGGACTGTGACTGGAAATAGTTTGTCACTGGAAGAGAAGAGAAGGCCAAGAACGGTGTTCAAGGCGGTGTTCTTTGTGGGGGCAGGAGGAAGATACTGTGGATGGGGCCAGGATATGAGTCCGACTCCGTGTCAGGAGAGCGTTCCCCTTGACTCGCCAACCCCAGACCCCTTCTGCTTTAAGGCTCACCTGCAAGAGGAAGCCACCAGATATTGTAGTGCTAGGTAATCATGAGTAGTTAGCAGAGATTAATAGGTGGGAATTAGTTATACTTGTTTCAAGTATACTTTTAATATCAGCTAATTTATATTTTCATTTATGCTATTTAGCAACTACCCAGGTGGAAGCCAAATTATGTGCTGTAGAAGAAGATACTTTTGAGGTTTACCTTTATGTAACTATAAGAAATGAAAAAGTAAGTGAAAAATTGTATTTTAAAAATATTTTACCATTATTTAAAATTTTTATTTTAGTAAAACAAAGAATAAACACCAAGGGAAACCGTGTCATTCACATAACATAGAAATTTTCTTAATCTTTCAAGATCCGGCTTAGATCAGAAGTTAGCCGGGACTGTGTTATCTTATTTCAATTACTTTTAAACAAAATTACTGCCGTGTTTTATTTAGACAGCATTTTATTTAGTAATGGACAAGAAATTATTCCTGGAGTAATGAGTATGAAATGTTATTCTTATAAGAGGACACATTTTTATAAATACACGTTTGGTATGATTTTAGTTCACTGCTTTTTTCCCCCCATAATTTTCTCATTATGTGTAATATGTGCTCATTGTAAAGGATTCAGATAATACAAGTAGAAAGAAAGTGGACATCACATGTGAGTACCCTCCGCCCCGTTATTAGCTGTTAACATTTGTCTGGCACCTTTATCAAAGGTGGCACAAGGGAGGTAGATGGGGATGTGGATCTAGGCTGCTCGGGGCCTACCGAGGGCATCTGAATCACAGATTTATTTAAAAATTTTACTTTGAAATAATTTTACACTTACAGAAGACATGTAAAAATAATGCAGAGTATTGCGTATGCTTTTCCTGGGTTCCCCTAATGTTAACTGTGCAAACCAATGGCACAGTGATTAGGACCATGAAATTAAATACCATTTTTAGAAAATGTACAGACTTTATTTGAATTTTGCCTGTTTTCCCACTAATGTTCTTTCTGTAGGCTAGGATCTGATCCAGGATCCCACATTGCATCTGATTTTCACCTCTCTTTAGTTTTCAGTCTGTGACAGCTCTTCACCCTTTCCTCATCTTTTAAGACCTTGACACTTCTGAAGAGTACTGCCCAGTTATTTTGTAGAATGTTGCTCAATTTGGGTTTGTTCGATGTTTTCTCACAATTAGATTGAGGTTCTACCTTGTTAGCAAGAATGCTAGCAGCGGTCCCTTCTCAGAGCATCACAGGAGAAGGTTCGTGGTGTTGATACGTCTTTTTACTAATTATAACCTTGATCAGGTGGGTAAGTTGGTGTCTGCTATGTTTTTCCTTAAAAAGTTACTATTTTTTTCCTCTTGAAATGCTTAAGTATTTTATAGGGAAATACTTTGAGACTGTGCAAATCTCTATCAATGATTCTTGCCTGCAAAACTTATTTCTGTGGTGTTTGCCCATTTCCATCATGCCTTTTACATTTTTAATGGGAATTATATAAGGAAGAACTATCTCTTCTCCCCCATTTATTAATTGATTCAGTAATTTATCTTATTCCTGGATAGTTATTCTACTCTGGGGGATATATTCCATTGCTATCATTATTTTCTTGTTCAAATTGTCCATTAGCATGGAACTTCTTCATAGTGGCATATGTGTTTTTTCAATGTGCCCCATCATTGTTGAAAACCCCCTACTTATGGGTACTACAAGATAACTCCTGGCTAATTTGGCCATTTTCCAACCCCAGCCCTAGACTCAACCACTTCTCTAAGAATTGGTTCTTTGTATTGAAAAATAGTAGTTAGGTATCAAGATCAGGTCACGAGGTGTGGTTATTGCTACTGAGTGTCATTGATTGTAGGTCCTCTTAGCAGACAGGAGATGTATGTATGTATGTTTGCAAACCCATGCATGCATATATTACATTTGTGTCTAGATCTATCCATCTGTACTTACATTGACAGCCTCATGTGGGACCCCTCATTTCAATACAGCACCTCCCCTTTCCTCATTCTTGACATCTGTCTCCGACAGTGAGAAACCTGCTGTTGTTAGCTATAGTATACTTATTTGATCAATCCTAGTATTCACATGAAGTAATTTCAGAATTGCTAACCCACCTTCCTGTGAAAAAGAAATTTTTTAGCCTTACAGCATGCAGCCAAAACACTGTTTTTCAAAGTAACTTAGGTTCGTTCTTTTCTTCAGTGTGATTTATGTTTGTTCATTTGTTACTCTTTGTATAGTATTTTGGGTTTCCATACATCTTTGTTGATTTTACCTATGACTTTCCATTACTTATTTTACAACTTAGTAAAAATGACAAAACATTGGCTGTTGGACCAGTCTTGTAAAAAAGCATCTTTTAAATAGGTTCTCTACTGATGCTTCTTCTTGCTTTGCAAGAGGAGGTCTCTCTTTCTCTCTGCTTTATGGTTGTATGTGGATGATAACTTGCTCTTACTTCGAGGTGGTGAAGTGCAGAAGGCATGCTTAGCCGTGAGAACTTTTCATGGATGCATGAGGTCATAATTGCCAGAAAAAGAAACAGGGCCAACAATCCTTTCCAACTTTCAGTGGAAGCACAAGGATGTATCCCAGGGTGTTCTCCTTTGTTGCCTGGCTTCTTTCATGCAACAAAATTATTTTCAGATATATCCACATTCCTTTGTCTGGATATACTACACTGTGTTTATCCATTCACTTGTTGATAGACATTTGAGTTGTGACCAGTTTGGGTAGTTACAAAGTAAACCGCAATGAATATTCATATACAAGTCTCCCTGTGGGACTCTGCTTTTATTTCTCTTGGGTTAATACCTGGGAGTCATGTTCTCCTCCATGTTCTCTTCAACACTTGCGTTGGTCATTCTTAAAGGTGTGCAGTGGTATCTCATTGTGGTTTAAATTTGCATTTCCCTAATGATTAGTGATGTTTCGAGCATCTTCTCACATACCAGTTGGCCATCTGTATAACTCCTGTGGAAAATGCCTTTTTAGATCTTCTGCCTGTTTTTAAATTAGGTTGTTTGTTTTTTGCTATTGAGTGATATGAATTGTTTTTATATTTTGAATATTAACCCCTTATCAGATATACAATTTACAGATATTTTCTCCTATTCAGTATGTTGCCTTTTCATTTTGTTGATGATTTTTCTGTGCAGAAGCTTTTTAGTTTGATGTAGTTCCACTAGTTTATTTTTGCTTTTGTTTCCTTTATTTTTGGTGTCAAATTAAAAAAAATCACCAAGGTCGATGTCAAGGAACTTAATGCCTAGGTTTTCTTCTAGCAGTTTTATGGTTTCGGGTCTTACATTCAAGTCTTAAATCTATTTCAAGTTAATTTTTGTATATGGTGTAATATAGTTGTCCAGTTTCATTCTCTTCATGTGATTGGCCAGTTTTCCCAACACTGTTTACTGAAAAGACTGTTCTTTTTCCACTGTATATTCTTGGCTCTTTCGTCGTAAATTAATTGACTGTATGAGATGGGTTTATTTCTGGGCACTATGTTCCATTGATCTGTGTATCTATTTTTATGCGAGTACCATCCTGTTTTGATTACTGTCTTTTGCCCATTTTAAAATTGAGTTGTTTTCTTTTTATTGAGTTTTGAGATTTTTTTTTAAATATATTCTAGATATATGGCCATCAAGATATGTTATTTAAAAATATTTTCTTCCTATCTTTGGACTGTCTTTAACAGTATCTTTTGAAGAGCAGAAATTTAAATTTTGATTAAGTCTGATTTATCACTTTTTCTTTTTATGATTTGTGTTTGTGTTTTGTCTTTGCCCTCCCCCAAGATCTTGGCCTGACAGTCATGTTAACTCTCCAGTGCTTTAAAGAAGATACTCTTATATTTCATACAGATTCTTACTTTTTTCTTCTCAGAAGGGTTGATCAGAAGTCTCTAGTTCACCATGACCAGTGCAGAAGTCAAAAAAGCTATTTCTATCAAATTATGTTCTATAAAACAATTTTTCTGAAGATTGAAATTTATGGTTAAGTTTGGAATATTTTTTGAACAGTCATTTGACTGTATTTGTCTTATTGTTCATGAAATCTTTAAAATTGTACAGGTTTGTGTTAATGATGATCTGGTTGCAAAGAACTTCGCTTGTTATGTATCACCCATGGAGAACAAAAACCTTGATTCTTTAGAGAAACCAAGATTGAATATAAAGCCAGCATCCTTTTCCAATAAACTCAATCCAGCACTCACTCTTTGGCCAATGTTTTTGCAAGGACAAGATTCTCAAGGAATGGAAAGTGAGTAGCTTCTCACCCATCTATGTTTCCTTTGAACTGTCTTACGTATAGGAATCTTATAGTATATTGATATCAGTTGTCATAAAGACTTTTCTCAATATGGAGACAGTGACTTGGACTCTGAATTTAATACTTTAATTTTAATCCTAGTGAGTTTGTGACAAGTTTTGATGTCCTAAAGCTGCTACAGTTTTTTTGACATGGAGTTAGAAGTCTGTATGTTCATAATTTAAAGATATTACCAAGACATCATTTTGTTTGTGGAGAGTTTTAGATACTTTTAAAAAGAGCTATTTATTCACATGAAAATATGAGGAGAGTCATTTGTGGACAGTGGAAGCAGTCTTCACATGTTTTTCTCTACGTTCAGCATTTTTTCGTCCCTTCAGATTGCTCCCCACTGAGGAGCAGTGTCTCCTAAAACCTTACACAAAAGCAAGAGCAGAAGTTTTACCAAAGAATTCACATTTGTATTTTGGGTTTTATTTCATGCTTTAATCCTGAAATGTGTTTTTTTCTGTCAGAATCTCATGGTTTAACTTTTCTGGCACAATCTCTCCAACATCCATGGCCCAAGCACGTTTTGGGTGACATAGGGCCAACTGCCATGATCCTGGGTAAGTTCTACTTGCTTGCTTCATTTTATAGGTTGCATAAAAGAATACTCTTAACTCTCTAAAGATTCTAATCGTTGTTCAGAAGAGCTATGGTAATTCTCTTTTTTCTTTCTTAATTTAATGGAAACAACATGATATCGATGCTGACAAAGATAATTTTGCCTTGTAGTCCATACTTACAGTGTTACAAGGAACATAACAGGCACTCGTTCATGTGTAGGACTGATTTATTCCAGCCCAGCTGTAGATCAGTGATGATTATTTGTTCTCAGAGTATACATACGGATTTATGATTGATTTTTATTTTAAGTAATAGAATGTGTAAAAATAAGAACCAGGCATTTATGAGAGCAGACATACCCAGTCTTTAATTCCGTATCTCTGAGATATTAAATGCATTGGAATGTTGGACGAGGGTGAAATGTGCCAGCCTCTCTGATGCTTGGCCCACCCTGTGGTAGTTCCTGCATGATTTCACTCCTGCATTGGGTGTACGTATATACCTGTGGGTGTACTGTTTCATGTATATCTGTAATAAGCTTCTACTAAATTGAAGCTTTAGTCAACCAAAATATTCCCTGCACTTAAAATTATTTTAAATTATTTTAGTTATCTCGTTCATTATAGAAAAATACAGATAATCAAAATTTTAAACATCCGTCATTTTTAATACCTGCTTTAAAATTTTAGAGTCTTTTTTCCCCAAGTTTTCCAGGTGTGAGGGTATGTATACAATTTTTATTTTACAGAAATAGGATCCTACTGTACATACCTCTGGGTAGTGTTTTTCACTTAATATATGGCTGAACTTCTTTCTAGGTCGGATGTGTTCAGTATAATATGGGTGTAAAGATATGGGCTCTTATGCGAGACTCTCAGGATGTCAGTCCCACCGGTTCCACTGTCTCCTCTGCAACATGGGGAGGCATTATTCCTGTCCCACGGAGTTGGTCAGGTGGGCCATCCGTGTACAGTTCCATGGCACAGTAACTGGCCTGTGGCAGACTTTTGGCACATGTGGCCCCATCCCATATTCTGATGCGCCTCCTGTAAGGTCCCAGATGAGAATTCCTGCTAAAAGGAGTCCCTGGTGGGAATGTGTTATTTCCATTTGTATTTCTTTCATTTTCATGGGGGGGGGCAGGAAAAATATCAGGCATTTATATCGTATTTAATCATTGCACAGCTTTCCATAATAATGATATATTAATAATGATATTAATATATCATTATTATTTTAAGTAGCCCCAGGTCGCTGGACAGTCATTGTTTCCTACTTTTCCTTATTATAGTCAATGTTGGAATCAACCGTGCATATCTTTGAAAAGGAAAAGATTGTTAGTGGTAAACAAAAGAAGGGTAATGTGAGATGTGATTGGATTGTCATGTAAAAAATAAAACTTATCCAGCAAAGATTTCTCTCTCCTTGTAATCATTGTGAAATTTCCTATTTCAACTATATTTTAATTAATTTTTGGTATTTCTTTTTAAAATTGCCTTATATATTTTTAAAATCAAAGGGTAATACTTTTTAATACTTGGTTGAAAAGTCAAATGATACACAAAGGCTATAATGAAAAGTGATTTTCTCTTGTCCAACCTCTTCTCACTCCAGGCTATTCCCTAGTGGTAAACCTTTTATTTTTTTCTTCACTATTTATTTTGGCAGTTATCTCCAAATTTTACAATAATTATTTTAGTCTTTCTAGGCTTTTTAATTCTAGACATTGTCTTGACTTCTAGGACAATCCAAATATGTTCATTCATCAGATATTAGGAAGTGTCTACTATGTATCAGGCACTGTTTTAGGGATTGTCATGGTGTATAAATTTCTTTTTTTATATCATTAGATTCAATTTGCTAACATTTTGTTGAGGATTTTTACATCTATGTTTATGAGAGATATTGGTCTGTCATTTCTTTTTCTTGTATTTTTCTTCTTTTGTTTCGATATAAGGGTAATGCTGGTCTCAAAGAATGAATTAGGAAGTGTTTCTTTTCCAGTCTTTTGGAGGAGATTGTAGAGAATTGATATACTTCCTTAAATGTTTGGTAGAATTCACCAGCAGTCTTGGTGCTATTGTTTTGTAAGATTATTAATTATTGATTCAATCTCTTAATAGATACAGGCTTATTCAGATTGTCTGTTTTTCTATGAGTTTTGGCAGACTGTCTTTCAAGGCATTGGTCCATTTTATTTAAGTTACCAAGTGTGTGGACATAGAGTTGTTTATAGTATTCCTTTATTTTCCTTTTAATGCTCATGGGATCTGTAGTGATGTCCTTTTCATTTCTGATAATAATTTGTGTCATCTCTCTTTTTCTTAGTTAGCCTGGCTAAAGCCTTATTGATTTTATCAATCTTTTTAAAGACCAGCTTTTGGGTTCATTGTTTTTCTTCCCTATTGATTTTCTGTTTTCAATTTCATTGATTTATACTTTACTTTTTATTATTTTTCCTTCTTTTTACTTTGGATTTTATTTGCTCTTCTTTTACTATTTTACTACTGTGGAAGTTTAGATGATTAGTTTTAGATCTTTTTTAATATACACTTTTAATAATATAAATTGCCTTCTAAGCACTGCTTTTGCTCCATTTCACAAATTTTGATAAGTTGTATTTTTATTTTCATTTAGTTCAAAATATTTTAAAATTTTTCTTGAGATTTATTCTTGATCTAAGTATTATTTAGAAGTTTGTTGTTTAATCTCCAAGTTTTTTGAGATTTTCCAGCTATCATTTTGTTATTAGTTAAATTTAATTCCATTATGGTCTGAGAGTGTACATTGTACAATTTCTATTTTTTTAAATACGTTGTGTTTTATGTCCCAGAATGTGGTCTACCTTGGTGTAGGTTCCGTTTGAGCCTGAGAAAGTATATTCTGCTGTTGGATGCGGTAGTTTGTAGATATCAGTTATATCCAGCTGATTGATGGTGCTGTTGTATTCACCTATATCCTTACCGATATTTTGCCTGCTATCTTTTTATTTCTGATAGTGGTGTTGAAGTCTCCAACTATAATAGTGGACTCGTCTATTTCTCCTTGCAGTTCTATCAGTTTTTGCCTCGCATATTTTGTTGCTCTTGTTAAACATATACACATTAGGAACTGTTTCGCCTTCCTGCAGAATTGACTCCTTTATCATCATGTGATGCCTCTATCCTTCATAATTTTTCTTGTTACGAAGTCCGAAGTCCGCTGTGTCTGAAATTAACATAGCTACTTCACCTTTCTTTGATTAGTGTTAGCATGGTACATCTTTAATCATTTACTTCTAATCTATATGTGTCTTTATATTTAAAGTGGGTTTCTTGTAGACAACACGTGGTTTGGTCTTTTTTTTTTTTTTGATCCACTCTGACAATCTCTGCCTTTTATTTGCTGTATTTAGACCATTGCCATTTAAAGTGGCAATGGTCTTTATTTTTTGTTCCTCTTTTTTATCTTTCACTCTTTGTTGCCATTTGTGGTTTTAATTGATCATTTTATATGATACCATTTTCTTTCTTATCAGTTATGCTTCTTTTTTCATTTTTTAAATGATCACCTTAGAGTTTGCAATATTCTTTTATAACCAACCCTAGGCCACTTTCAAATAACACTATATCACTTCGCAGCAGTTTAAATTTACTTTTACTTATTCCTCTTCTAATGCACATATCCTCACGCTCAGAGATTCTTTCCACAGCTGAGTCCAGTCTACTAATAAGCCCACCAAAGACGTCCTTCATTTGTAACAACGTTTTTGATCTCTAGCATTTCATCTTGATTCTTTCTTAGAATTTACATCTCTCTGCTTATGTTACCCATCTGTTCTTGCACATTGTTTACTTTTTCCATTAGAGCCCTTAGCTTATTAATCATAGTTGTTTTAAATTCCTGGTCTGATACTTGCAACATTCCTGCCATATCTGACTCTGGTTCTGATGCTTTTCCTATCTCTTCGGACTGTGGTTTTTGACTTTCAGTATGCCTTGGAATATTTTTTGTTTAAAGCCCGACATGATATACTGGGTGAAAGGAACTCTTGTAAATAGGCCTTTAGCGATACGGTGGTAAGGTGTCGGGGGAGAGGAGACACTCTGTGGTGCTGTGATTAGATAGCAGTCTTTTCCTGAGCCTGTGCCCCTGGGCAGTGACCTTCACATGTGCTTTTCAGTCCTCTACCCTTCCTGCCGTAGGTGGGATGGGATGGCTGGAGAGAGTACATTTGGGTATTTCCCTTCCCCTATGGTAGTTACTCTCTGATAAAACCCCAATAATTTAGGCTCTGGTTATTGTCTTCTGAGGCCAGGAGTTACCATGGACAGAATGCTCTGGCATATTTCAAAATGGTTATTTTCTTCCTCCTCCAACTGGAAACCCAAGGGGATTTTTTATATGATCTTCACTGTGAGAACCTGGTAGAGATCCAGGAGGTAAAATTTACAAAAGTGTTGTGTTGGAGGGTGGTTGGGGGAGGTGCCTAGAGTTAACTCACTTTTCCACACTTAGCCTTTAACAATTTGTCAATTACAGTTCAGATTTTCCTGTTCCTAGTACTGGTTCCATGGAGGTTTTTGCTCAGGTCAGTTGTGATTTTCGGTATCCACCTGTCTCTCTAATTTTGGGGGAAGCAGTTTGCCCAGTGACCTCATTTTTCTGTCAGATAAGAAGAGTCGTTGATTTTCATTTTGATTAGCTTTTTATTCTTACAATGGAGTGGTGAATACATGCCGAAACCAAAACCGGAGGTTATAATGAGTTTTAAAATGTAAGATTGGTAAATAGAAATCTTGGAGATTTCTATTGCTTTTCTTTTTTAATTCTTATAGCGTCTGTCTTTGCTGACTCCTTGTTACAGATTCTCATTTTGGTGTTATACATCTATATGATGTGAATCTTTTAAAATTTGTTGAGACCTGCATCATGTCCTACATTGACCATGAAAATAAAACGGCCAGTTATTTTACTGGTAAAATGAGTTTACTCAGGAATAGCAGAGAATCGCAATTCTAGACAAACACTATAACAAAAGCTATGGACAAGTCCAGTAAACAAAGAAGAGGAATTTTACTTTATAGAGAAAAATGAGGAAGTTTGGAAGGGGATGCTTTGAATGAAAGTCTGTTGGCAGAGAGTGAGAGTTTAGGATGGTAATGGTTTCTCATTTACTGAATTTGATGGTTCCCATTGGCTAGGCTTGTTGCTGGGCAAGGAGAAAATCTTCATTCTTTATGCTGGGGTAGTAAAATAGAGACACTTCCAGTTGGGAATGCAAGGTATATTTCTTCCTTTTGGGGTCTGTAATTGACGCTTCTTTCTGTTGAGGTGTATAATTGAGGTCAAGTGGTAGGGCATATGAGAGCTCCCCCTTCACGCCTCCTGATTACATTTTAAGTGAGGTTTCCTTTATTTATTTTTACACCCAGAATATGGATGTATTGGAAAATATTCTGTGTGTACTTGACAAGAATATGTATTCGGCTTTAAACAAAAAAAAATGTATTTTTTTTTGTTTAAAGCCGAATACATATTCATGTCGGGCTTTAAACAAAAAAATATGTATTTTTCATGACTGAGTAATACACCATTGTATATATGTACTACTTTTTTATCAGTTCATCTATTGATGGACACTTAGGTTGCTTCCATATCTTGGCTATTATAAATAATGCTTCAGTGAACATAGGGATACATATGTCTTTTCAAATTAGTGTTTGGGTTTCTTTGGGAAAATACCCAGAGCTGAAATTAGTGTGTCCTTCTTTGTCTCTTGTTACAGTCTTTGTTTTAAAGTCCATTTTGTCTAGTATAAGTATTGCTACCCCAGCTTTTTTGTTTGTTTGTTTCCATTTTCATGAATTCTTTTTCATTTCTTTACGTTCAGTCTGTGTATCTTTCAGTCTAAAGTGGGTCTCTTGTAGGCAGCACATGTAAGGGTCTTGTTATCTTATCCATTCAGCCACCCAATGTCTTTTCATTGGAACATTTACTCCATTTACATGTAAAGTAATTGATAGCTCTGTAGTTATTGCCATTTTATTATTAATTTTTTAAATCTTTTTTTTTTTTTTCTTCATGTTAAAGTCCCTTTAACATTTCCTGTAATACTGGTTTTGTGGTGATGAACTCTTTTGACTATCTCATGTCTCGGAAGCTCTTTATTCTCCTTAATTTTCGAATGATAGCTTTGCTGGGTAGAGTAGTCTTGGTTGGTCTGAATATTTATTCAGTTGTGTCTGGCAGTTGATGTTGGCTTTTGGCTAGGACCTCAACCTTGGGTGTCATCTGAAATACCTATAGTGGCCTTCCCATGTAGTTGCTTGGGCTACCCCATAACATGGTGGCTGAGTTTCAGGAGTGGCCATCCAGAAGAGCAAGTCATAGTACATGGCATTTTTGCAGTCTAGCTTTAGAAGTCACATAACGCCACTTCTGTCCTTTTTTACAAGCTCACCCAGATTCACGGGAAAGGAATATAGAGCCCAGCTCTCAATGGGAGAAGTGTCAGGTCATATTGTCACCATGTGTGTTGGGAGACCTGTTATGGCCCTCTTCGGAAAATAGAGTATGTCAATTTGGGAAAGTAAATTATGTTTAATTCTTAGTAAGCCATTAAAGGAATTTTTAAAGCATTTTTTTATAATAAGTGTTGAAACAAGAATTTTAAATTTAATTCGCTCAAGTAGAGTTTAATACAAAACTCTATTCCATAATAATTTCATGTATTAACATTTTATGATGGTACTTTTCTGTTGTCTCTTTTTTCTTATTTTCTATTTTTAATAACACTTTTTAAGATCACTTTTTTAATCACTATTTTTATTTTGCAGATAAAACTATAAAATGTGAAATGGATTCATTGAGAGGTTCACCTAAAAACATATCTGAAAAGAAACAACAGGGTGTCTCATTAAAAGATATAAATAAGGTTGTATTTTTAAATGTTCATTAAATATAAAGTTAATATAATGTTAATTTTTAGATATTCTCCTTTAAAATATACTGGGAACCAAAAACATATTTTCTGTCAAAAAATCATTGGTTAATTTCATTCATGAAAAAATATAGTTTGAATGTTTATTCTTTTTCAAAAAAATAAGATAACTCCAGCTCCCCTCTTGTCACACCCTTGTTCTTGGCCTTGCGGCCTCTCTACAGAATCATGTATTCTCGTTTTAACAAGAGTGTGAAAATCTGGGATTATGAGACAGTAATAGTTAAGTTCAAGTGTGACCTGTTCCTCCAGTCCCTTTGACAAGAGATGTGAAAGTAATTATAGGACATTTCAAATACTGATTATCTGAAATGCCATCTGCCTACTATTTGGACGCTTCAATTTAGTGGTTATTGCAAAGGTATAATCACCCAGCTTTCCAGTTCTTTGTCTCTCTATAACTTTGTTGCCTGAAAAGTATCTGGATGATTGTTTTTGAGAATAATTTCTGTGGAATTTTGATTCCTCAAGAATATATATCTTGCTAGCATACATATTCTTTCTGGAAAATTTTTTTTACAGTGTGTTGAATCTTCAGTGTATTGGCCAACAAAAAGAGGCATAACCATATATGCTGATCCAGATATACCAGCAACCAGGTACGATTTGAAAATTCGGTGTAATTGAGTAGAAACTTAAGTGTTGTATTGTCTTATACAGTATTCTATAAGACCGATGATAGGAAAGAGTTCAATTTCCAAAAAGGGCTGGCCTCATAAATTTTGGTTAAACATATATTAATTTCTGGTAGTCAGTAGGAAAGAGGGGCTATATTGTCTAATGAATTGTTGCTTTAGAGAAATTGTTCTTTTTTTATTGGGGTAATAGATGGTCTTCCATTCAGCTTGGTAGTTTGGTAGTTTTTGATAAGCATATACAGCCAGGTTTTCACTCCCTCTCGGCAAGCACCAGAACTGTCAAAATGGTTTTTATACTTAAAGGGCTCAGCTTCAGTTCTCACATGAATTTACTGCTGTAGAACAACTTATTCCATAATGATACTTTTAAAATTTTCTTCCAGTGAATAAAGATATGTTCAGGATTGGGGTAAATAGGTTTAGAAATGTTAATAAATGTTTTTTCTATTTCTAGTGCTTTACGCCAGAAGTCAAATGAGAAACCACTTAGATTGGCTGAGAAGAAAGAATACAATGAGAAGAATGGCTGTGTGAAGTATGAATTTTTTCTTGAACTAAATTTTTTATTGCAATAATTGTAATAAAATTTACATATCATATTATTAATTTTAAACATGCATCCCCATAAAAAAAAATGTGTATATATATATATATACACGCAGTGTCTTCTGTAGGCTTTAAAGTTTTAGTTTTTTTTCTTTCACATTTACATAGGGTATATTTTTGTGTTTAAAGCTCTATTTTGCTCTAAATAGTCATTTTCTATCTCCCTTTTTTGATTTTCTTGGTGAACTAAACAATTTTATGAAACAAATTAGATATAGTCGATCATTTGAAATTGTTGATTTTCTGTGGGTTGGTGTTTGCTTTCTTCCAAGTTTTCTGGTGTTAAATAGGTTTATCACCTGCTGGAGAAAATATTTGCAGTGTGGAACTTGGGGATTTTTTTTTGTACTGCCAGATTCACAAAGTATGTACTTACGAGTTGTTAACGATGGAGTAATAACTTTATTTTATACTTGTTTAATCCTATTTTGAAGATTTCTTATTGTGCCAGCCTAAAATCACTCTTGCATTCCAAATGCCTGTGGCCGCTCTGAAGCCACCACAGTGACAAAGAGTTTCAGACAGTTCACAAGTGGGTAGGTCGTGCTATATCTACTAATTGGCTTGGGCTGATGTAGGCTGCCCAGCTTCCCAGAGGCCACGCTGTGGCCCCGTAATGTCCTTTCACCTCACAGTGGTTCTCAAGGGTGGTGGTTCTGCAAATTAGTTGTAATTTTGATGTGGTCGTGGGAGGAGGTGAGCGCAGCGTTTTCTACTTTTCCATCTTGACCGGAAGTTCAGGAGCTCCTCACAGTGTTCTAGGGCCAGGGGTTTTCAGGGTTGCCATGGAGCCCACAGATATGGGGAAGCACCTGGATTGACATCCTCCTCCCAGGGTATCCCTCCACCCTACTACCTGAAAGCTGCGATGCTACACGTGGTTCTCTTCCTTGGAACAAAAGACCTTGCATTATTCATGTAACTCATTTCTTTTCTTCTATTACATTAAAGTATCACTTAAATTCACCCTGAGATAACTTTTATTTTTATATTAGAAGGTTGTATCTTATTTCCTACTTGGTCAAATGCCCTTTACTTAGAACCAACCAATTAAACTACACCAGTTATTCTGTCAGCCCACTGTGGGTTCCAGTGAGCTTTGAAGTGTTCACGATTAAATAGCAAAGAATGGAGGAGGCAGTGGGTTTCTTAGAAACACGACGACCTGGTGATCATGCAGTCGTCCACCTTGTTCAGAGCAGGTGGTTCTAGGTTTGGCAGCGCTGTGTCCACATCCTGGAGCCTTGGCTGGGTGGGACAAGCATGTGACTGGCATGACCAGTGTAGCCCTTGCATCATGGTAAGGCAAAAGAGAATGAGCGGTAATTTCATAGCTGTGACTTAGGATATGCAGTTCACTTTTCTTCTTTCAAGGAAGAATTAAAATAGTAGCTCAATTGAAGAACCGTGAACTGTTTTTTCCCTTCATATTGCCCTTTTAACTATTTTACAGATTATTACAGTTTTTAAATCCTGATCCTTTGAGAGCTGATGGAATCTCTGATTTGCAGCAGGTATTACAACCCTAAAAAAAGAAAACTCTTTTAATTTACTCTTTAAATTCCTCTCCTTCCTCCCTTTAAATTTGAGGTTAGAAGAGAAACCCCTTCACTTGGGGACTTCACCTGAAGACACTCTTTTAGAAATTATCCAGTAAATTATTGCTTTAGAGAAATTGTTCTTTTTTTATTGGGGTAATAGGTGATTTTCCTTTCATTTGGTAGTTTGGGTGGTTTTTGATAATCATATACACCTAGGTTTTTACACTGAAATCGAACTCTTGTATTTCGTTCATTCCCATAAAGTTCTCGGTATTCTGTGCTGCTGCGGGGTGGAGGTGTCTAACACACGTGTCCTCTAGTTGCAGAAGCTGCAGCCGGGCACACGGCAGCCCTTCGCACTGCTCCGGAACAGGATTGAGCCTTGCTTATCCATTGACACGTCGCCGCTCTCGGCAGACCTGAAAAAGGTAAATGTGCTCCTAAAACTGAACTCCAGAAAGAACACTGACCTGCCCCTAACGTAGAAGGATTTTTAATTAACGCTTCTAAGGTTGCAATTGTATAATTTCTTTGCTTTTGTAGTTCTCTTTTCAGCTTTTAATATTAAATTTTTATTTATTCTTAAGTCCAAGTTAACTTCTCACTAAGCGAATAATTCTTTTGTGGAGAAACCATTGTATAACTTTAAGTGCTTTTCTGAAATAAGTTTTCAGATACACCTTTGGAAGGGTGCTTGGAAGGAACAAATTACCTGGGCAATTATACTTTCTAGCCTCTTTTTCAAAAAATTGCTTTATTGACCTGAGTCAGTTGATCATACATGTTTATCTACTTCCTTCTTGATATATGTTTAAAAAAACTACTTTAAAATATTTTTCTTAAAAAAGAAAGAACCACACGGATGACTAGAATAAGAGTGAAGTCTTTAGGGGACAAGAGCTTTCCACAGGCTTTTAGGAGATGGAAAACGGGCAGCACAGTATGGCTGACTTTCCAGGGAAGGAGTGAAGTGGGTGGGGTTCGTGAACTTCCCTACCCTGTTTCCTGAATATCCACAGCCAGTGTCTCAGGAAGGAGATTGGAGGCTCTTTTTGGAGAAACCGAACGGCCCTAGAGAACTTTAAATGATGCGGTTTGGAATTCTCCTAGTAAAAATGTCTGCTTGCTGCCCTGTCTTCGTGCAGTGATGTGACTCTCACCTGCTGACGACCTTTGCCCTACCCCCCAGGTCTGCCAGTCAGCTTTTAGTGTCTTTCCTCAACGGGAACACAATGTCAGGGATTGTTAGACATCTGAGGAAAGCTCTCACCCATAAGGAAAAAAAAGAGCAAAAGATACTCCAAGGGAAACAATGTAGGGAGTAGAAGAAAACATTAGAAAATAAATCTCTTCAGAGAAGAGATATATATCGCATGTATTTAACAATAACAGTACTGTGGAAAAAGATAAAAAAAGGTTCTTGGAAATTTAAAATGTTCTAGAAATGAAAATCAATAGCAGATTTGAGACATGGAATAAAAGCTGTGAGACAGTGGAACAGAAAGACAAAGAGGTGGAAATAGAGGGTAAAGAAGAATTGGAGGTCCAATATCCGAAATGGGATTTCTAGAAGGAAAAGATGGAAGAGGGCAAAAAGTTCTGAGACGAATAACACATGAATGATTTGTAGACTTAATGGCTATAACTCCAGATTAAGAGAGTTCACCTAACACAGGTCCAGCACAACTGAGGGCCGAGGTAGTAGATATGTTGGTGTGAAGCATCTAAGCCGGAGGGTTTCAGAGGTGATGAATGCTTCCAGAGAGAAGAGACTGGCCCCACGTGCTTGATCAGGAGTCAGAATGGCTTCAGACTTCTCCACAGGAACACCAGCGGAGCATGCATCGACTCCAAAATTCGAAGGAAAATTTATTTTTAACCTCGAAGTCTATATTCAAGCTATCAGTCAAGTGTGAGGGTAGAATGAAGACATTTTCAGACTTTCAGAGTCTCAGATTTACTCCCTCTGTACCTTTTGTCAAGAAGGTGCTGAAATATGTTCTCCACCAATATAAGAAGGTAAACAAGAAGAAGATGACGTGAGTTGCAGATGAAAGGACGATGGTGCAGGCAGATCCCAGGATGACAGCTGCACGCCAGGTGCAGAGAGGAGTCAGTTTCGATGGCAGTGTGGTTCAGGGTATGGGGAGGAGGACTTCACTGAGATAATGGTGCTGATGAGGTTAGATTTTTGGAAGATGGTTACCAATGTGGCTGAAGAATTCCTCTCTGTTGGAACATCTGGGAGGTTTTAGTGACAGTCACATAGAAAAATAAGCAAATAAAGCCATGTTTTTAAAAAGCTGATATACCAGCAGATTATCAGAAGGAGAAGAAGTCACGTCCTTGCTCTGGTGAGCTTTAAGCACCTGATTGGTCAGTGGACCGCCTATTGGATCCTTTTAATTTGGAGTCCAGAAAAGCAGGAGTTTGGTGCCAGAAAAGATTCAGTGAAACTTATAAAGTTAGATCTTGGAAAATATCAGACTGAGTGATGGATACTTGTTGTTGGGGTAAATGAGCAATGAGATGGGTTTTTTATTAGTTTCCTATACTTTATTATGGTTTTTTGGTTGTTGATGTTTTGTAGGCTCTTCAAAGAAATAAGTTTCTGGGACCTAACCACACTGAATCTTACTCTTGGCCTCCCATAGCACGTGGCTGTGACGTGGTCGTCATTTCTCAGTGTGGAAATGACCCTTTGTTGTACCTTCCACCAGTGCTTACGATTTTGCAAACAGGGGGCTGCTACAAGTCATTACCAAGTAGAAACGGAGTAAGTTGAAGACAGTTTTGTTTTGCAACAAAATGGATTAAATGCTTATTTTTAAATTTTACACCTAACTTTTGGTAAAGGTTAGGTTACATTACTCACCTAGTTTCCAGACTGGCAGGACAGAAACCATCCTATGAGAAACTTTTAGCACAGTCATCAGTTCTTTTACACTGATTCTCACCTTGACCCCCAGTTGTGGGCCATCTGCTGAGTCAAGAGAGTCCTGGGTTTTAGAAATGAATATATAGTTTATAACAGTATATCACTGATTTATCTAATCGTCATAGTGACCCTGTGAGATGGTTGAGCCGTTTATTCTTTTCACCATTTTATAGATGAGAAAATTAAACTCATGAAAAGTTACTGGTTTAAATTTGTAAGAGCTGACAAGTGTGACGAGGTAGTGGGATTAGAATTTAGGTTTTTTGTCATCTTGTCCCATATTCTTTCACATATTTTCACAGCACCTCACACTGTTTTATCATCCTACTTTAGTTTTCCCATGTGTAAGAGTCTGAAAATAGCTGAGAAAGATGACGGGAAGGAGAGAAATGGGGTGTGAAGACCAAATGATGATGGGGTAGTGACATCTGCTTTGCTGGGTTTTGACCGTTAGGTGAACTAATGTATATAAGGCCTCTGTCTCAGATCCTGTCCCAAAGGACACACTACAGATGGTTCTGCCACTCATTATAAGATGAAAAATAGCAGCACAAAGAGACACTTAGAACTGCATTTTAAAAAAGATACTAGTTTGTTTTCCTAATTATACTGTGTAGGTTAATGGTTTTCCTTTGGAAATCTGCATTGGCTAAGTTATTTATTGATTTAATAAAACTAAATGGATACATTTATATCCCTCAATTCGTTAGCAGCCGACCCCTGTTGATGAGATGCAGCCTGTGTTAAGACAGAACCCTGGCTGGGTCAGAAAAGGATGTCCAGGTCTTGCCTCTTGTGTCCACTCTACTTTCTCTCCATCTCCGTGGTCAGCCTGCTTTTAGGCCTGACGCCTAGAAGCTAGCGCTCACCTGGATCTGCATAAAGGAAAGAGGAGACTCATTCTTGTTTCCAGTTACTGATGGAGGTGTTTAGGAGGCTGTTTGGCAGGCAGTGCATCTTCAGGACATGTCTGTGGCAAGGGGAGGGCAGGGTTCAGGTGGCGCTATTGGAAACGTAGTCTCCTAAGGAAGAGATGTTACCTTTTTAAAGCCCCTGTTCAGGAAGCAGTTAGTTCATCCTTGGGCTTAGGAGCAGGAGATCTAGAGCCAGACTGCCTGGCTTCAAATCCTGTTGCTACCCTGTGTGAGCTGTGCAGCCTTGGGGAATTGACTTCACCTCTCTGTGCCTCAGATGCCTCATCTGTGCAATGAGGTAGTAATAGGTCCTATCCTGTAAGAGTGTTTTTAAGACTAAATGAATTCATATTTTTGAAGCACTTAGTTTAAGCCCTAGGAAGATCCGAGACAATGCGTCTAAATCCATGTTAATGAAATTATATTTTAGCTTTTCTGACCTATGTAATGGTGACGATAAAGATTTATGTAAAGCCCTCCTTGTGCTTACTCTGTACAGAAGATGTTCTGCAAGCTTCACCTATGCTATGTTCGATTCCTAACTTTTGTACAAAATTATGTGAATTTATTTGTCTTTGCAGCCTCTTGCAGTCATCGTGTGTCCTGGGTGGAAAAAGGCCCAATTTATTTTTGAATTATTGGGAAACTATAGCACGTCCTCCAGGCCTCTTCATCCTGTGTTATTAACAATTGGACTCCACAAAGATGAAGCCAAAAACATGAAGCTTCCGAGGGGGTGTAAGCATCCTTCCGAGCTGTTTGGTTTTCCCTGCAGAACACAGTGGAACGCTGCCCAGACAGGCCTGGGAGCTGCAGATGGCACGGGCTGTGTAGGCGCCTCTGGTGGTCACTCGTCCACCTGTCCTTGTCAGTTACGGATGGGTATAGGTGATGAAGGTTTGATCTTGGCTTACATTTGCGAGAAATGAGAAAACTACATGATTTCATTCATTTATCAGCTATCTACTGAACACCTACTGTTTTGTTAGATGTTGACTAAAACCCTCCCTGTCTTTTAGGAGTGCAAAACCTGGTGGGAGCCCAAGTGTTTAATCAGATAATGACAGGGGTTGTTAGCCCAGGCAGGCAAACCTCTTGCCTCACCCACCTGAGTAAGGAAAACAGCTTTTTGTTTTACTAGAAGGCATTTCTAGAAAGTATGTGGAATCTTAGCAAAGGAAATGTTAGAAAAACATAGGAAATCTAAAATGTTAATGGATTTTTTTTTTTCTTTTAAAATGTAGGTGATGTAATTGTTACAACACCACATAGCCTCCTGAGACTTCTCAAGTATCAAAGCTTGTTATTTCTTAGGCTCTGTCACCTCATTTTGGATGAGGTGGAAGTATTATTCTTCGAAGCTAATGAACAAGTAAGTATGGCATTTATTTGGATGTTATTCCTCCTCAGAAATGTATATAATAAAGTCTTCACTGCTTGTAGGAGTCAAGAAGCCGATAATCTAAAAAGTTTTCCCTTTAGCTTCTGTGATTAAGAAGAGAATGTTTTTCTGAAAATTTCTTCCCAGCGTTAAAGTTCTCTTTGAAGAACAAAACTTCTTTCCTAGGGAGGTTTTCTAAAATATTTAATTACTATTTTTCCGATTAAGAAAGCAATAATTTCTATTTTAGAAAATTTCAGAAATAGAGAAGAGTACTTTTTGAAAAACCCCAACATTCATAATCTTTCACTCAGAGGTAATCGCTGTTTCTATTTGTTTCTAGTGTTTCCTTCTTTTTTATAATTCCTGTGTCTCTTGACATATATTTAACAATATCAGGACCTTACTTTATGTACTAATTTGTAACTCGAATTTTTTAGTAAACAGCATTGTATCATTACTATTCTACATGATTACTACCAGCTTTACAGTATTGAACCCTGTGGACATAATATCATTTATTTTATAGTCGTCTCATTTTTAGATATTTAGCATCATTTGCGTGTGTGTCTAAAGCACATACATCTTTTTTGCACGTTTCCCTTAGAATAAGTTCCTGGAAAGGGGATCAAAGACTGTGAATTCTTATAAGGCATTTGTTGGAAGCAGTGTAACAGGATGACCAAGAGCATTCATTTGGGAGCCACCGGTGATGGCCCCAGGTTCAAGTCTAACCTTTTTTACTTACTGACTGTATGGGCCTGAGCAGGGTTTCTGAACGCCTCTAAAATCTCAGTTCTTATTTGCAAACTAACATCTGGAGTACTGCATTGCACAGTTGCCTTTCTGAAAGAGTGGACTAATTTACACTCCCATAGGCAGTGTGTCGCCACACCACACACCCTGCTCCCCCTGGCAGTAGGAGGCCTCAGTTCAGCTTGCTTTTCCAGTTTAATTATTCACCATGGCATCTGATTAGTTTAATCTGTATTTCCTTGATTACTTATTAAGTGGAGCATGAATTCATGCTGGCCATTTGTACCCATTCTTCTGTGAGCTGCTTGTTTATTCCTTTGTTTATTTTCTGTGGGTGGGATCATCATTTTCTAATCAGTTTATAGAAATTTTTGTATAAGGATATTAATCCTTCGTTAGATGTTACTCATATTTACCCAGATGTTTATGTTTTAATTTTGCTTATTCTTAACCTTTTTTCCTTTGTAGCTTTTTCCTTTCCTTTTATGTTTATAAAGGCCTTCCCCACTCTGAAAGCAAACAATATATAATCCTTTACCTTTTACGTTCTATCAAACTAATTATTATTCTCTTTTGAGATGAAAATGAAGTTAATTATACTAATTTTTTAGATGTTTGCCATATTAGATAACTTTAAAAAAAATATCGAAGTTGAAGAAAGGGAATCTGCGCCACATCAGGTTGTTGCAGTTGGCGTCCGTTGGAACAGACAGATAGATCATTTAATCAGAGAGTTCATGAGTGACCCCTACATCGTGATCACAGCCATGGAGGAGGCCGCTCTCTATGGCAGTGTCCAACAGGTAATGAGTCATGCGTGTGTGCGTGGGGGGAACTGATGAACACAAGCAAGTAACCTTTGTTTCATGGCTTAATGTTAAAGGATTATAGTTTTAATTTCATACACAAACTTGTAATATGTATTTAAATTTATATTGGTTTCCTATACGTTATTTTTTACTAAAATCATAACTGACCTCTGGAGCACCTTGAATGTTTTTAAAATCACATTGTTTCTGTATTTCATTATCAGGTGGTACACCTTTGCCTAGAAAGTGAAAAAACCTCTACTTTACTCCAAACTCTTGATTTCATTCCAAGTCAGGCACAAAAGACCTTGATCTTCACCTCTTCTGTAGCCGAAACCGAAATAGTATGGAAGGTGAGCCCTTCCACACATAAAACCTTTGTACTGTTTGTTTAAACTATGATTGAATCTTGAGTCGTCAGATAATTACTGGTAGTTAAAAAAATCTAACGGAAATGAAATTTACAAGTTCATCGTCAGTCGGAATGGGCTCTACTGCAAAGTACCGGTATCAGTAAAAAAGGAAAGCAGTAGGCCCGACGTTGAGGGCAGGGGCCAAGTAGATGGGACAAGCCTTTCATTGACTCGACTCGAATGTCCCCCGGGGGGAGCAGTGCTATGTATTTTGTTATTGCAGAGCTATGTATTTTGTTATTGCTGTGTATTTTGTTATTCCGCTTCGTGCAGAAATGCCGCCATGTTCAGCACCCTCTATTTAAGAAAATAGAGACGATAACACTGAATATCATCATGTAGCCAGAAAAGCCAAATAAATTGACTGGAGATTTACTTAATCTAATTGTGTATAAATTAATGCTAAAATGTAGAAATGAGGCCAAATACAAAATCAAATATAAGAATCAGTAGCACATTCATATTCCAGCAGTAATGAACTAGCAGGTGTGGTGAAAGAGCCCTCATTGACAGCACCATAAACTTGATGTATATGTGTACATTTACAGTTGACCTTTGAACAACATGGGGTTGAACTGTGTAAGTCCACTTATACGTGAATTTTTTCCAATAAATACAGTTAGTACTCTAAGTGTATTTTCCTTATGACTTTCTTAATAACATTTTCTTTTCTCTAGCTTACTTTATTGTAAGAACTGTATTCTGTATTCTGTATCCTGTGATATAATACGTATATACAAAATGTGTTAGTTGACTGTATGTTTATTGCTAAGTCTTCCAGTCACCAGTAGACTACAAGGAGTTAAGTTTTTGGAGAGTCAAAAGTTATAGGAGAATTTTCGACTGCATGGAGAGGGAGATTAGCACCCCTAATCCCTGCGTTGCTCAAGAGTCAACTGTATGTACAGGTGTCTGTATATGTATGTGTACACACACACACACACACACACACACACACATATATATACATGCAAGTGTATAAACACATATGTGCATGTATATGAAAAGGCAGGAAAATAGTTTTAGCAAAATAATGTTTGTTTCTCTTGAGCAAGTTTTTAGATATAAACTATAGAACTTTGGAAATATATTTATTTAAATTAATAATCATCTCGTTCTTAGAATTATTTGATCAGTGAGATAATAAACCTCACAGGTAATTTTAAATGGTTTCTATTGATGATTATTGACAGAACAAGTTATGTTCTTGACTCTAAACTGGCCTCTTGGTTTCATCTTTAGGTAGTAGAAAGCAGTTCAGTATTTTGCTTGAAAATGCATAAAGAGATGGTTTTTAATTTAAAAAGTGTTTTAGAACAGTGGAAGAAGAAGTTAAGTTCTGGCTCTCACATTGTATTAGGTAAGTGTTTTAATTGCTACTTATATTTGGAGAAGACTGAGTTAATAGAAATCATGTCTTTAATTCATTTATATATCTCATCTCCAGATTTATCATCATTTCCCAGATTTATTAGTAATCTTAATTTCAAAATGAAAATTAACCTCCACTAAGACTTTGATGTTGAGGTGGATCTAGGTGCCCCCCAGGGTTCTCAGATCAGTAGGCAGCAACCCCTTGTCTAGACAGTCTCCCTGAAGTTCCAGCGTGGGGATCACTGTGGTAATGATGAAAGATGCCATACACGATTGTTAAATTTAATATTAGAAACGTAGAAGTCTAAATATAAACAATAAGTGTAAAATATGGGCAGTCTAGATTTGTAATAAGAGAGATTTTTTTGTTTGTTTGTTTTTTTATCGCCTACTGCACCTGGTATTCCTAGATGGTCTCCCATCCAAGTACTAACCAGGTCCGACCCTGCTTAGTTCCGAGATCAGACGAGATCGGGGCACGTTCAAGGTGTCATGGCCATAGCCTAAAAGAGGCGTTTTTTTTTAAGCTAATAGGGAGACTGCTTTTCTCTGGAATTTAGTCACTGGGCTGTCAATAGTTTTGGGGAAAAAATGGGAAAGAAGTCTCTTTGCATCTAGAAAGTAAAATGAAATAAAGGAGTGTATCGAGGTGTGGTTGCTTGAATTACTTGGAAGAGTAAGTGCAGTAAAGCTCCAGCTTCATTTGAAATTGTCGGAATCCTTTTCCCCAGCTTTAACTGATGACTGCATACCACTCTTGGCCATCACTGATGCCACGTGTGTGATTCACTTCAGCTTTCCTTCCTCGCCCAAAATTTTTGGTGGACGCTTATATTGCATGTCTGATCATTTTCAGAGTTTAAAGGAACAGGTTTGATTCATTTTTATTATCTTTTACTATTCCGCTGGCATTTTCTGTGTAATGACAAATTCGGGGTCCACAAAGTTTTTTCATTGAGACTGATAACGGATGATCCACTTCCTTTATTCACCCCCAATTTTAAGGGTTCTCCTGCGGAACAGGGAGATAAAAAAACCAAATCTGTCTTGCTGCTGACGGAGAGAAACGCATGCCATGCGGTTGGGATCCTGCGCTACTTGGAGAGAGCAGATGCCAAGATTCCCTCCGAGCTGTATGAGTTCACTGCAGGGGTTCTGGAAGCCAGGGAAGACCAAAAAGCCAGAAGGCCTCTTTGTCCCTATCTTAAGGCTTTTGGGTTTTGCAAGTAAGCCAGTCACCTTTTTTTTTATAATCGAGATATACAGTAAAGGGCATGGGTGAGCAGTTTACAGCTTGATGAATTGTTACAGATGTGTGCATCCATGTGGACCACCACCCAACTCTTAGGGAGCACCCTAGAAATCCCCTCATACTCCTTTCCAGTTTGCCCTTCCTCCAGAAGTAACCACATCCCTGATACCTATTAATTTTGCTTGTTTTTGAACTTCATATTCAACCTAGTGTCTGTGACGTTCATCTACATTGTTGTGTGCATCAGTATTTTCTTTATTTGTTTGTTTATTAGTGGCTTGGTATTCCACTGTGTGAATATATCACAGTGTATGTATCCATTCTTCTGTTGATGGGACCTGTTGGTTGTTTCCACTTTTAGCTATTATATATGAAGCTGCTCTGAACATTATTGTGCCTGTCTTTTTGTGGAAATATAAACCTGTTTCTCTTGGGTATATACTTTGGAGTGGAATTTCTGGGTCACGAGATAAGCACATGTTTAACTTTTCCAAAGTGGTTGGCCATTTTGTGCTTTAATCAGTAGTGTATGAGAGCGTTTGAGTTGCTCCATATCCTTACCAACACTTTGTATTCTGGGATGTGGCAGTAATCCATTGTGATTAATGATGTTGAATGTCTCTTTGTATGTTTCTAGGGCATTTGACCATCTTCTTTCTGTGAAGTGCTTGTTCAGATCTTTTGCCCATTTTTTAAATAGGGCATTTATCTTTTTTTTTTATTGGTTTGTAGGATTAATTTATTAATTCTAGATATAGGTGCTTTGTCACATAAAGGCATTGAGAACATCTTCCAGTCTCGTGGCTTGCCTTTTCACTCTTTTAATAATCTTTTGATGAACAGACATTTTAAATTTTGATGAAATATTTTATGGCTACCGCTTTTTGTGTCCTTATGCAAGAAATACTTGTCTGTAGGTCACGAAGATATCTTCTGTATATTCTTCTAGAAGCTTTATAGTTTCAGCTTTCACATTTAGGCATATAATGCATATTGAATTAGTTTTCGTGTGTACTGTGAGATACAGGGCACAGTTTACTTTCTTCCAAATGATAACACTTGCTTCAGCATCATTTATTTAAAACATTTTGTTCTCACTTCCTTTAATATAAACCAGATGATAGTGTATGTGGTCCATTTGTAGACTCTTTCTGTTACGTTGGTCTATTTCTCTGTCCTTACCAGTTCTGTACTTTTCTTAAGTACCATAGCGCATATTATAGCGAGTCTTGGAATCTGGTGTGTAAGTCCTCCAACTTTGCTTTCCTTTAAGGTTGTTTCGGCTATTTAAAATCGATTACATCTCCCTATGCATTTTAGAACAGGCTTGTAAATTTCTTCAGCAACTCAGCTGGGATTTTGGTAGCAACTGCATTGATTCTGTAAATCAGTTTGGAGGACACATATATCTTAACAGTCCTGGGGACCCTGTTCCAGATGCAGACACAGTGCTAGTACCTGGCATTTGGATGGCTGAGACTGGGCAGTAGCTGTCTGCTATGTATCTGTTGGATTGAATTTAATTTTAAGATAACTGTTGATGTTTACTTGTTAAAGTTATGTTACATTAAACAGATTATTATTAGCAGTTTCCATTATGCCTTTAAATAGAATGTCGACTTTTGTACCCGAAGCTCGAACTGTTTCTCAGTTTGGGTTAAGGAATGGCTTCTGGTTTCGAGGTTAATTGGCCTTTGTCGTGGGTTACGGTAATATTGTTCTGATTCAGAGTCTTTATTCTGGAAGTACATTTTGTATTGCATTTGAGAATGTCTAGAGATAATGAAATAACTCCTTAAGTTTATTCAGCGTTAATTAAATTTTAGGATCCTTTTCCACTTATTTACGCATTGTTAATGTCATCTGAAATATTTAATATGGTAACTTTATAAAGTGATTCACAGAGAAGTTCTGTGATTTCAATTTCAGATTTTTTTCTGGTTTTAAAATCCAGTTACTTTTTTTCAGAGACAAAAGAATCTGTCCTGATAGACACCATATTAATCCAGAAATAGACATGCCAAGGAAATTATCCAACCAAGCTCTACCAGTGTTTGGATACATTAAAGTAAGTTCTGTTAAAGATCTTTTGGGACGTGGTTCCATAGTGTAGTGGTTAGCACGTCTGCTTTACACACAGAAGGTCCAGGGTTTGCACCCCAGTAGAGCCACTATCCACGATCTACAGCCATGCCACCCTGAACAAGCCTGATGTCTGATCTTGTGAAGCTAAGCAGGGTCGAGTCTGGTTAGTACCTGGGTGGGAGACCACCTAGAAAGACCAGATGCTATAGGCATAAATAAGAAGAAAAGAAAAAGATCTTTTGTCAAATGATAAATGGTCATTTTAGTGAACTTATTTTTTAAGCAGCAGAATTGTTGTTGTAGGATGTAATTATGACTTCTGGCGGTCAGTAATAATGTACCACCGATAATCCAACATCAGGCACTGATCCTTGTGAGGCCTCCAGTTTATTTAGAAAACAAAGATCAAATTGGGGAAGTGGATGAACCCCTTCAATGATTTGGGGATTCTTTGTTATATTTTCAGAAAGTTGTTTTTTTTGGGTGGGGGGACTATTAAAAATGATGCAGCAATTACATGAACCCTTTCAGAACATCCATGATTATTTCTTTGAGGAGAATTCTGAGAAGCAGATAGAATTGCTGAGTTGAGTTTGTTACTTTCTTTTTTGACTTCTTTTTATTACTTTCTTCCTTCCTTTTTGAGTTCGATTGTTCTGCTTTTCACCTTCCCTTTCCCTGAAGGTAGATCTGTTGTATTTGTTCTTGCTTGTGCAACTTCTTGCGTGGCCGTGCTGTACTGGTTTCCTGGGACTGCTGTAACAAGTACTATAGACCGGGTGACTTAAAACAACACAGATTTATTCTCTCACAGTTCTGGAAACCAGAAGTTCAAAATCAGGGTGTCTGCGGGGCTGTGGTCCATCGACTCTAGAGGACAGTCCCTTCCTTCCCCTGGGGTTGGCTCCAGGTGTTTGTTGGCACGTCTTAGTTTGTGGCCACATCACTCCAGTGTCTGCCCCTGTCTTCACATCACCTTCTCCTCTTCTCTGTCTTACAAGGGACACTTCTCCCTGGATATAAGGCCCACCCAGGTGATTTATCTGGAGATACTTAATTACATCTGCAAAGACCTTTTTTCTAAATAAGGTCATAGTCACAGGTCCTGGGAGTAACACATGGACATGCCTTTTTGGAGGGCCACCTCCATTTCATTACTGAAATGATTTTTTTGCTTTCATTTCTAATCCTTTCCTGAGCTCTGTCACCTCATTTGTAAGTTTTTCTAGCTGTTGTTTTATATAATATATCATTTTCTTAATTAACAAACTAAAACAGCTTGTTTTTAAATTGAAGATTACAGTTTTGGTCCTTTTGGTGGATACATCTTTGTAGTGGCTTTTGTTGCCTGTTGGGACCGATATTCTCCTTATTCTCTTTTTTATTATTATAATTTAATACGGGATTTGATCCTGGTACTTTGCTCTTGACCATATTTAGATAAAATTCATTTTCTTTACATTTTAGAAGGAAGTGTGGGTCAGGGTAACTTTGCCAATTTCACAGAGTTCCCATTTCTGTTGTTTTCGTGTCCTGTTAAAAAAAAATGGAGACACAGTTTCTGAGATTTCTGAGATTTCCTGTCTCTTCTCCCCTTATCTTGCCCTTCTCTTTCTTCATCTCTGATGTCCCTGGATAAACAGCGTTGAAATTTCACAGGCACAGCAGCCTTCGCCCACCACTGGAGTAGATGGAAGCCTTCCTGCTGTCAGCTGCCCTTGTCACACTGGCCCACCATGTTCTCAGCGAATGCCTATTGCCTCATGGGGAGTTCTGCTCTTAGGTCCTGCCTCCCTCTGCTGCTTCCTGCACAGACAGTGATACCATGCAGGTCTCGTGATGTGGGTGGTTTTTGCTCCTCTGTTTTTCTATCGTTGTTCGAATTAATAGGTTTTATTTTATTTACAGTTTTAGGTTTTTAGAAAAATTGAACAGAAGATAGAGAGTTCCCTTATACGCCTCCACCCTCCCCGCCCCCACCATTTCCTCTATTATTAGCATCTTGCATTAGTGTGGTATATGTTTGGCGATTGATGAGCCAATATTAATACATTATTATTAACTAAAGTCCACAGTTTACATGAAGGTTCACTTCTTGTAGTGTACATTCTATGGGTTTTGCCAAATGCATAGACACATATCCACTATTACGCTATCACATAGAATGTGATAGCTTGACTGCCTTAAAAGTCCAGTGTTCCATATAGTTGGAATCATACAGTGTACGTAGGCTTTTTGAACTAACTTCTTTTTATTTAGCAGTATACACTTAAGATTCCTCAGTGTCTTTTTGTGGCTCAGTAGATCATTTCTTTTTATCATTGAATGTACTAGAGTTTGTTTTGTTTATCCATTCACATATTGAAGGTTGCTTTCAAGCTTTGGCAATTATAAATAAAGCTACTGTGAATATAATGTGTAGTTTTTTGTGTAGACATAAGTTTTCGACTCATTTGGGTAAATACGGAAGAGTGCGATTGCTGGATTGTATAGTTAAGACTGCTTTGTGAGAAACTGCCACACTATTTTTGGAAAGAGGGTAACATTTTGCATTCCCACGAGCAATGAATGAGTTTCTGCTGCTCTACATTCTCACCAGCAATTGATATTGTCAGCATTTTGGCTTTTAGCCCTTCTAATAGGTGTGGATTGGTATCCTGTTTTGATTTGCATTTCCCTGATGACATATGATGATGAGTATCTTTTCATATTCTTATTTGGAACCTGTATATATTTTTGGTGAGGTATAAGTTCAGGTTTTTACCCATTTTTAAAATCTGGTTGTATTTTTTTTTTAATGTTTAAATATTTTTTAAAATAATTTTTTATTTTTAATTTTTAGTTGGTGTACAATATTGTATTGGTTTCAGGTATATATCACAGTGATTAGACATTTATATAATTTCAGAAATAATCACCCTGGTTAGTACCCATCTGACACCATACATAGTTATTACAACATCATCGACTGTATTCCCTATGCTATATTTTACATCCCCATGATTATTTTATAACTACCAATTTATACCTCTTAATCCCTTCTCTCTTTCACTCGTATCCCCCCGCACAACCTCCCTCCTATCTGCAACCATCAAAACGTTCTCTATATCTGAGTTTGTTTCTGTTTGTGTTTATTCTTCAGATTCCACATGTAAATGAAATCATAGAGCATTTGTCTTTCTCTGTCTGACTTACATTCCACTTGGCACAGTACCCTCTAGGTGCAACCCTGTTGTTGCAGATGGCAAGATTTCATTCTTCTTATGGCTCAGTAATATTCCATTGTATATATGTATCACCTCTTCTTTATCCATTCATCCACTGATGGACACCCAGGTTGCCTCAATATTTTGGCTATTGTAAATAATGCTGCAGTGAACATACGGATTCACATGCCCCTCCGGAGTAGTGTTTTGGGTTTCTTTGGATAAATAGCTGGAAGTGAAATTACTGGTTCTTCTTTGTCTCTTGTTATAGCCTTTGTTTTAAAGTCCATTTTGTTGGGGCAAGTATTGCTACCCCAGCTTTTTTTGTTTGTTCCATTTTTATGAAATATCTTTTTCTGTCCCTTTACTTTCAGTCTGTGTGTGTCTTTTAATCTGAAGTGAGTCTCTTGTAGGCAGCATATGTAAGAGTCTTGTTTTCTTATTCAGCCATCCTATTTTTTGATTGGAGCATTTAATCCATTTGCATTTAAAGTAATTGTTGATAGGTATATAGTTATGGCCATTTATTATTCATATTTTTGATCTTTTTCTCCCCTTCTTAAAGAAGTCCCTCTTATGTCAATTTCTTTTAATACTGGCTTGGCGGTGATGAACTCTTTTAGCTTTTTCTTGCCTGGGAAGTTTTTTATCTATCCTTCAATTCTAAATGATAGCCTTACTGGTTAGAGTAATCTGGTTGTAGATCATTACTGTTCATTGCTCATTATATCCTGCCCATCCCTCTGGCCTGCAGAGTTTCTATTGAAAAGCCAGTTAACAGTCATATGGGAGCTCCCTTATAGGTAACTAATTACTTTTCTCTTGCTGCTTTTAAGATTCTTTGTCTTTAACCTTTGGCATTTTGATTATGATATGTCTTGGTGTGGGCCTCTATGGGTTCATCTTGTTTCGGACCATCCGCACTTTCTGGACTTATATGTGTGTTTCCTTTGCCAGGTTAGGGAAGATTTCTGTGATTATTTCTTCAAATAGGTTTTAATTTCTTTCTGTCTTCTTCTGGTACCCCTATGATGCAAATGTTATCTTTGATATTGTCCCAGAGGCTTCTTAAACTGTCCTCATGTTTTGGATTCTTTTTTCTTGTTGCTGTTCTGATTGAATGTCCTCTGCTGCCCCATCCTCTAAATCACTGCTTCAATCCTCTGCTTCATCTAATCTGTTGATTTTCTCCAAGATATTCTTTATTCCAGTTATTGTATTCTTTATTTCTGACTGCTTCTTTTTGATGTTTTCTATCTCCATTTTTATGTTTTCTATATCTTTGTTAAAGTTAGTCTACTCTTCCCCTAAGTTAATTGAACATCCTTGTAACCAGTGTTTTGAACTCTGCATCTGGTAGATTGCTTACTATCTCCATTTTGTTTAGTTCTTTTTCTGGAGCTTTGTTCTCTTCTTTCATTTGGGACAAGTTTCTTTGTCTTTCCATTTTGGCTGAGTCCGTGTTTGTTTCTATGTATTAGGTACGCCTGCTATCTCTCCCAGTCTTAGTAGAGTGGCTTTACATAGTAGGTGTCTTGTGGGGCCCAGTGGCATGGTCTCTCTGGTCACCTAAGTAGGGTGCTCCAGGTGTGTCTTTTGTTTGGGTCGTGTATGCCCTCCTGTTGTAGTTGAGCTTTGGTTGATGTTTGCACATCATTTATGAGAGATTGACCCTTGGGTTGATTGGTTGTGAGGGCTGCCATAACTATAGTAGAGCAGCTGTAGGGGCTGGCCCTATGTAGCAAGATTCACTTTATGAGGGCTCTGGTGCCTTCCC